CCCAGGCTGGTCTCGAACTGATGGGCTTACATAGTCCTCCAGTCTCAGCCTCCCAAAATGCTGGGATTACAAGCATGAGCCACCACACCCAGCCTAGGATGTATGTTAACATTTTTCCATACTTTTCTTTGTGTTTATATATACACATACTTTTCGTTTTTTTCTGAACTATCTGAAAGTAAGTTGCAGCTAATAGGTGATTTCACCCTAAATACTTCATCATACATTTTCTAAGAATAAAAACTTTCTTTTATATAACCATAATATTATGCCTAGGATAATATTATACCTAGGACATTACTATATTATATTATTATACCTAGGAAAATAATTCAATAATATAATCTAATATATGGTCATATTCAAATATCCCAATTGTCCTCTCCAATTTTTTATGGCTGGTTTTATTCTTGATCCAGGATCCAGTGAAAGTTCACATATTACATATTCTTTTTTTTGAGATGGAGTGTCGCTCTGTCACCCAGGCTGGAGTGTAGTGATGAGATCTCCGCTCACTGCAACCTCTGCCTCCCAGATTCAAGCGATTCTCCTGCCTCAGCCTCCTGAGCAGTTGGCACTACAGGCACCCGCCACCATGCCTGGCTAATTTTTGTATTTTTGGTAGAGACAGGGTTTCACCATGTTGGCCAGGCTGGTTTCCAGCTCCTGACTTCAAGTGATCTGCTGCCTTGGCCTCTATTATTTTAATCAAAAGTAGCTCCCCTTTCTTTTTTCATGACACTGAAGTTTTTTTTGTTTTGGTTTGGTTTGAACTTTTAGGTTCAACGGTACATATGCAGGTCTGTTATATAGGTAAATTGCATGTCATGGGGGTTGGTTGTACAGATGATTTTACCACCCAGGGAATAAGCACAGAACCCAATAGGTCCTTTTTTGATCCTCACCTTCCTCCCATCCTCCATGCTCAAGTAGGCCCCAGTGTCTATTGTTTCCTTGTTTAACAATGAAGTTTTTTTAGTCCAGCCTAGATGTCTTATAGAATGTGCCACACATTGTGATTGTGTCTAATTGTTTCATCATAATTAGATTTCAAATAATATTTTGGGCAAGAAAATTACATAGGTGAAGTTCGGTCCTCCTTATTGCATAATAACAGTAGATCCACGGAAAAGCTGTATCATTATTAACATTGCTAGACTCGATCACTTGATTAAAGTGGTGACCTTCAGGATCTTTCTAATGTAAAAATACATTTTGCTCTTTGTAATTAATGTTATCTGTTTGAAATTGCATGAATATCGTCTTCCCAACAATCATTATTCCACTAATTACTTCATTTTACTTTATGTCTTCCCCATTAGGCTAAGCTTCACAAGGGCAGAGATTTTGTCTTGTTTATCATTGCTGTATCCTCAATGCTGAGAAAAGTGTTTGCATATAGTAGATCCTCAATACATATTGAATGAATCATTGTTAGTTAAATACTTCTGTATTCTATAAGAGACTATGAACAACTTAAGGACAAAAGTAATGTTTTCTTAGTTTTTGTATTTGTAGAAAATAAGCACAGTACTTAGCACATAGTAAAAATTCTATCTATTTTAATTTTTAAGGACCATGGGTAAGTCAGTTACAATATATATGCCTTACTCATTTTCCTTATGTATAAAATGTTAAAAATGCATCTACTTAACTATATTAATAAGATATACTAAAAATTATTTTAATATTTCTTTCTAAAGTAAAATATAGTAAAGCAAAACTCCTAATTTTAAAATAAGACTCTCAGGAAAAAGTATTAAATTATGTAATATATTAAATATAAATTTCTCTCAGCTTTTCTTTGTAGCTTACACATCTAAAGGCATTTTACTGATACAATGCTAAAATACCAAACTACTTTTTAAACAGTACATACTTATTTTTACCTGTAGTGCTTTTAATGTTTCCTTCAATCCTTCTATTTCTTTTTCCTTTATTTCTGTAGCAAGCTCATATTTTCCCTTTAAGTAAAAAACTGTATTTCAGTACTTTTCAATGTAAATGATAATACAAAAGCGTAAAATATAAGAGCTCAAGAACGAAAATCTCTATTTTAAACCAAATATTTCACAGGCTTTAACCTTCTATCTGTGCAACAAATTACACTTCTAATGATTTCAAAATATAAAATTACAATAAGGCCTTTATATGGTTACAATGGTCATGAAATAGAATATCTTATTATAATGACAAATCATTTTATCAGTAGAGCATCCTACCCGAGAACTTACAGACACTTTATAATTACTTAATTCATACAACTAGAATAAATACATTCTAATTAATAAGATACAGATGTATTTGTCTAATGAATATAAAAACATGAGAGAATTTTTTACAGAAGATCTTTGGCTAAAAATAAACTATAAGTGATTATTACTAACGGCATGTTCATTGAGATAATAAAAACATGTATTAACTATTAAATAGCTAGAGAAAATATTTAGTGTCAGATAAATTTCTAGGTTTGTTGGAGCTTTATCCCCTTTGCCAGTTGGTCTGCACCCAGTTGCAAGTCATTTCCATATTTTTTAAAGACAGTAATTCCAGTGAAAAAGCACTAAAAACATACCATGGTTAATAGAAACACTGCAGTAGAATGGTAAGAACATTAATTTGGGACCTGAAGAGGTCTGGGTTCTAGTCTCAATTTTGCCACTTCAAAGTGAGACCTTTGGCAAGTCATTTAGTCTTGTTAGGCCTCTGTATTCTGAACTGTAAAATGACGGAAGTGAAGTAACATGATTATATCTTCAGTCCTTTATAAGATTTTAAGCAGTTAACCACCTCCATTAGTTTGTTACTAATGCTCTTTTCTGTTATGGTAAACAATAAAAGGCATTTAGCTATGTTTTAAATTATTTTGTAAAAATAAATACCTTTTAATAGATAGAAAAATTTTTTTAAAATTATAAATACCTTTTCTTCTTCCAGGGCATACATCTTCATTTGCAACTGATAAACAATTTTAAAAATTAAAATAAAGGGAGATAAACTGTTAACAGTGATCTACACTGGTCACTGAGACTAAAGAAACACTTTATATATCTATATTGTTTGAAATGGAAATAATGTGAACGTTATTTTCAGATTCGGAAAATAAATAATAATGATATAAAATGAGAAAAAAAGCCAGTCAGTAAAGTAAATGAACTTTGTATTTATTTATTTGAGATGAGGTCTTGCTATGTTGCCCAGGCTGTACTCCAACTCCAGGGCTCAAGGGATCTCCCACCTCAGCTTCCCAAGTAGCGGAGACTAGAGGCACACACCACTACACCCAGTTCAAAATTAGCAATTTAATCACACTGATCAGAGACACCAATTATCCTTGAAAGTTTTGTTTTTTCCTCCAGAAGTTTTTCTTAAATGTCTGAATATTTTGCCATCCACTCCTAAATCACAGCTTTTATCATTTTCCAAAGGTACAATTTTGTACATCAGTATCATTTGTATTATCATTGACAGTATTTATGTTCAAAAATTTGTGCAGCCTAACAAATTATGATCTGTTTAAAAAAATAATAACATTTTAAAGGCCAGGCATGGTAGTTCATGCCTGTAATCCCAATACTTTGGGAAGCTGAGGCAAGGGAATTGCTTGAGCCCAAGAGTTTTGAGACCAGCCCCGGCAGTATAGTGAGACTTCCTTGACAAAAATGTCCCAGCTACTTGGGAGGTGGGAGGATCGTTTGAGTCCTGGAGGTGGAGATTGCAGTGAGCTGAGATCACGCTACTGCACTCCAGCCTGGGCTACAGGACGAGACTGTCTCTAAATAAATAAATAAAAATAATGACATTTTAGAACAGAAAAACTAAAGTACACACACCAAAGGAAAATTATGAAATATTCTAAGCAACACAAGAGTATTAGGCAAAATTTTCAAGAAATGAAATTTTTCTTTGGAAATTCCCTATTTCCTTTTTCTTTTTTCTTTTTTCTTTTTTTTTGTGAGATGGAGTCTCGCTCTGTCGCCCAGGCTGGAGTGCAGCGGGGCGATCTCGGCTTACTGCAAGTTCCGCCTCCTGGGTTCACACCATTCTCTTGACTCAGACACCCGAGTAGCTGGGACTACAGGGGCCCACCACCACGCCTGGCTAATTTTTTCTTTTGTATTTTCAGTAGAGATGGGGTTTCACCGTGTTAGCCAGGATGGTCTCGACTTCCTGACCTTGTGATCCGCCGGCCTCGGCCTCCCAAAGCGCTGGGATTACAGGCGTGAGCCACCGTGCCCAGCCAAAATATTTATTTATTTATTTATTTATTTAGAGACAGAGTCTTGCTCTGTCGCCCAGGCTGTACTGCAAATGGTGTGATCTCAGCTCATTGCAACCTCCGCCTCCTCGGTTCATGTAATTCTCCTGCCTCAGCCTCCCAAGTAGCTGGGATTACAGGCTCCGGCCACCATGCCTGGCTAATTTTTGTGTTTTTAGTAGAGACAGAGTTTCACTATATTGGCCAGGCTGGTCTGGAACTCTTGACCTTGTGATCTGCCCGCCTTGGCCTCCCAAGGTGCTGGGATTACAGACAAGAGCCACAGCGCCTGGCCTCTTATTTCCTTTTTCACACTCTTCACATTCAAGATCCCTTTCTTTAAACACACACACAAATTAAAAAACAAAGAACCCAAGAGCACTTTCTCCTCTACCCTTCAGATATCTGAGTATCCTTATCTTGCCCAAAGTCCTTTGTGACAGCAGAGATGTGGACTTGCTCTTTCCTAGAGAATACTGTGCTACACTTTGGGCTTTTGCTTCCCTAACCTTCAATTAAAACTCCCATAACCTTGGTTAGGCCTATCTCAGATTAAAGGAAGAAAGTCATTTGCTTAAAAAAAATTCATACATCTACACACACTTGAATTATAAAGATGAAGATAAATAAAGAAAAGGAAAAATGAAGAAAAAATAATGATGTGAGATAGAGATAAGGAAACTTTCAGAGGATATTTTACATGAGCACATTTTCTTAAACTATTACAATATTTTCTTACTAGGAACTGAAGAGAAATTTTAGTCAAGAAGAGCTACAGAATTCAAATTAGCTGAAGGTATGTACAGCGATTTATGTCTTGATTTTTTTCTCATTTTCGTACTACTGTTAGTTACTGATGATTGATATTTATGGAGGCTACAGTGCATAATAATCATCTCTTCTAATCCTTGACATCTCCCTACTTGCATCTCAGATTTTGATCATAATGTTATAACTCTACTTTGGTAAAGGGGTACTATGGAAGAGGCAAGAGCCTAGGAAGTTCTACTAAAAGAAAGAGGAAAGGGGAAAGAACAACACACACATCCCACTCACCTAAATTATTTAGGACAGATGAAAATATATCTCCATCTCCAAGAAAATAGTTTTCCCAATTTCCCTCCTTAACAAACTCATTCTACTACTTTACATTTTATTGTCAGTTGTGATTAAAAATTATTTTATTCATTTCCTACTTCCCATAATACCTTGTTCTCCTTTTTGTCTTTGGTGAGTATGGAGAACAGCTTGCCATAATATTCATGGGAGGGGGAGGAAATGTAATATTTAAAATGGTAGTATTTGTCTATCCTTACGAAATTACCTGCTTTTTAAAAACTGCCATTGCTTCTTTGTGTTGCTCTGCCAATGTGTCCTTTTGATTCTGAAGAGTTTCCTGTTTTAAAAATTATGACAAGTTAAAATATACATTCTAGCAACTCTCTTTCAGCTTTAAATCTTAACTGGGTTCACAATTTAAAGTTAATCATACCTTTTACATATATTATTTTGTGCTCCTGGAATTCCACTTTAAACCAATTTTATGATTATTTTTTGAGAGAGGGTCTCACTCTGTTGCCTAAGCTGGAATGCAGTGGCACAATCACAGCTCACTGCAGCCTCGACCTTCCCGGGCTCAGGTGATTCTCCTGCCTCAGCCTCTCTAGTAGCTGGTATTACAGATGTCTGCCACCATGCCCGGCTAATTTTTGTATTTTTTGTAGAGACAGGGTTTTGCCATGTTGCACAGGCTAGTCTCAAACTCCTCGACTCAAGTGATCCACCCACTTCGGCCTTCCAAGATGCTGGGATTACAGGCATGAGCCACTGTACCTGGCCCAATTTTATAATTTTTTAATTGTCATAGAATCATCACATAAGCATTTTGCTTTATGTTGCTTTTTTCATGGAAAAAAAAACCACATTGCTTCTAAAATTTTTAAACTTTGGATGTTATTTGCTCCAAAGCATTCTCTAAGAAAAATATCTTTCAACTAAAAGTAATTAAAATTAACAAATTAACAGTCCTAGTATACAAGCAGACTATTGTCTTAGAGTTTCAAAAACAACAACAATAACAACAAAAACCAGTTTTATGATCTAAGCAGAAATGCTTACCTGGCAACATATACACCTTTAAGTTCATTGGAATAGTTTTTTTACAAACCAAAACTACCACAGAGAATTTCCGAAAAAAAATCTATATATGATTCCATTTCTCTTTTTCTCCTTCTCCCACCTTTTTGGTGGAAGTTGCATGTTCTGTTCTTTCTATTCTAGATTACTTTAATGTTCTTCTATTTTTATCAAAGTTAATAATTCTCATCATTTAAAAATTAGGTCTAAAAGTGGCAACCACTTTCAAATTTTTCTGCTGTTTGCTCCAGATTTCTAAATAATACATTGAGTTAGCAATTTAAAAAGTTTATCTTTTGACCTCTTATTGATGACAGTAGTGGCCCATCTGGAGCCACTGTTGTGAGGATGCCAGCTGCAGCAAAGGAGGTGCAGCCAGGGCTACGGCTCTGCGAAGTCATTTGGGGCTGGGAATAGGTGAGGTGAAGAACCCAAAGCAAATGCAACAAAAACAAAGATAAATAGATGGGACTTAATTAAACTAAAAAGATTCTGCATAGCAAAAGAAATAATCAGCAGAGTTAACAGACAACCCACAGAGTGGGAGAAAATCTTCACAATCTATACATCTGACAAAGGACAATATCCAGAGTCTTAAAAAAAAAAAGATATGCAAATGGTCAACAAGCATATGGAAAAATGCACAACATCACTAATGATCAGGGAAATGCAAATCAAAACCATCATGTGATACCACCTTACTCCTGCAAGAATGGCCATAATCAAAAAATTAAAAAATAATAGATGTTGGTGTGGAGGTGGTGAAACGGGAACACTTTTATACTGCTTGTAGCAATGTAAACTTGTACAACCACTATGGAAAACAGTGTTTAAAGATTGCTTAAAGAACTAAAAGTAGATCTACCATTTGATCCAGCAATCCCACTACTAGGTATCGACCTGGAGGAAAAGAAGTCATTATACAAAAAGGATACTTATACATCCAGGTTTATAGCTGCACAATTTGCAATTGCAAAAATATGGAACCAGTCCAAATGCCCATCAATCAACAAGTGGATAAAGAAAATATGGTATATACACACCACAGAATACTACGCAGCCATACAAAGGAACGCAATAATGGCATTCACAGCAACCTGGATGAAATTGGAGACTTTGTTCTAAGTGAAGTAACTCAGGAATGGAAAACCAAATGTTGTATGTTCTCACTTAAAAGAGGGAGCTAAGCTATGAGGACAGAAAGGCCTAAGAAAAATACACTAGACTTTGCAGAATCAGGGGAAAGGGTGGGAGAGGGGTGAGGGATAAAAGAATACACATTGGGTACAGCATATACTGTTCGGGTGATGGGTGCACCAAAATCTCAGAAATGACCACTAAATAACTTATTCATGTAACTAAACACTCCCTGCTCCCTAAAAACCTATTGAAAAAAAACAAAAACAAAAACCTTAACAGCACCCCTTTCTGGGTCTTCCAGCTGTCATAAAGCTTCCTACCTATTTGTACCTCAGCAGTATAGACAAGCCCTTAATGCTCTAACAGAACACCATGGGAGTCATCAGGGTCTAATTGCTTATTACAGTCTTCCCTTAGACCTAATGGCAAAAGCTAACTCCTTATCAAGGGCAGTATTAGCAGCTGTCAAACTAGTAGAGGCTTCTACTAATGTGGTTTAAGGATTTATTTAGACTTCATGATACCTCATGCTATGCAATCCTTGTTATTTACTAAAAACATATTTCTCAGCAAGCAGGTTCACCCCCCATGAACTTTTATTACTTTCTCCCCTACACATCTCCATCCAGTGCTGTAATATCTGAAAGTCTACTAACAGGAAGACAACACATGATCTCACTTATATATGGAAACTAAAAAAGTCAAACTTATACAAGTTGAGAGTAGAATAGTGGTTACAAGAAGCTGGGGAGGTAGAGGTCTGGGGTGGAGGGAAGGGAGATGTTGATCAAGGGGTACAAAGTTCCAGTTAGATGGGAAGAATAAGTTTGCGATCTACTGCACAGCATGTAGTAAACATAATTAATAAATATGTATATTTCAAAATTGGTAAAAGTAGATTTTAAATATTCTCACAACAAAAAAATAAGTATTGAGGTGATGGATACATTAATTAGTTTGATATAACTATTCCACAAAAATGTATACATACACAGGTATATCAAAACATCACATTGTAGCCCATAAATATATACAATATTTATTTTTCAATTAAAATAAAGATCTAAATAAAAAATAAAGAGGCATGAAAACTGAAAAAGAAAAACTAATTGCTTACTTCTCTTTAATTTTTAATTGCACAAACTATGCAATAATACCGTTTGACAATTGCCCCCTAAAATTGCCAATAAGTCTGTCATATAATCTTACCTAAGCTTACATATATGTATATAATAATTTACTTTTTATGTGCTATTCATTATAAATATGTATATATATACTGTTCATTTTTTATATAGCATATGTAAATGCTTGAATAGAAGAAGGTTAAAATGCTTTTATATCTTAATGAAAAAAATATACTAATGCAGTAAGAGAGATGGGGATTGAACAGAACACCCACCAAACTTTCTTTCAAGAAATATTTTGATAATCAATAACTTCCTATATAAAGTATATCTCTTTGATCTCTATTTCTAATAAATGTTACTCATAGACAAGTTTAACAAAAAGCCTGGTACTGTTTTTCCAGTACCCAAAGAAAGGGAAATCTATAATGAGTTAGTCTCTGTCTGAACAATAACTGTGCTTCAGACAGATTTATTAGAAACTCCCCCAGATTAAATTTACATGTAATCTTGTTTGTTGATAGGTCATTTTTTGAAAGTAAAACGGAAAAAATATCAGGCAGGATATACTGCAACAGTGTCAAGTGACCCCTAAATCGTGACTCCTTACCAAGGTTAAACCAGCCCAGATGACAAAACTTATTCTACACATCAAAGCTTGCCAATTGTCAAGACATTAGAGAGTTAACATTAATAGCAGCTATGCCTTTGGTGTAGTCCATGATTTTGGAATACTGTACAAATAATTAGGGTTTCTGATCTCAGTAGGAATCCCAATTTCAAGTAGTCAACCATTTTAAGTTTTCTAATGCTTCTTTAGGGGATGGTTATCATAAAGTCACACTAAAAGGGATAACATTAAGGCCAGAGGAAATATCCTAGCTAATCTTATGACATACAGTCCTGGCCCCCATGATATCCAAAAAGTCAAATCTTTGAAGACGTTTTAAAAGGTTATTTTTGGAATGCCTACAACTGGCTCCAGAGTCTGAAGAAAAAAACGTGATAATAAATTACAAAAAGAAAATATCTTTCAGGACACTTTCAGGACAGACACTTGGTGGCACCAGAGGACCTCAATGGAACTTTGTAAAAATTTTATAGGAAATTACCCATCAGAGCAAGGACAAACTGAACATTATACTCAATTCCCATTGGTGGTGAAATTTTACTAAAATTGCTGAGGATGTCTCTGGTGTACAGCTGTCATTAGCACTGTCCTGGTAAAACTGTTATCCTTGTAAATCCAAGCCTTAGAGTCCCTATAAACACTTCCAAATGGATTTCCTAAAATTAACCCCTAGAACACGTTCTGAATATGTTCATCATTGCTTCCATCTTCTCAGGATGAACTAAAACTTCTTGCCAGAGAGCTACAATTCTGTGAGTAGAAAAAAAAATTACTTGATTTTGTGTTTACAACCTGAGGATCTCCAGGGACTGGGTTACTCATTTTACTGGAACTGTAATTAGAGAACTTTGCAAAACCTTGTCATTTACTTAGAAATTCATCGCCCCCCTCATCCTCAAACTTGAAGAAAAGTAGAGAGGACTAATGGCACACTGTATCTGACACTCTTAAACTTCCATGACCAAGAAGGTTACCTCTAACTCATAACATCATGAAGTCCATACTCCCCTACATTCACTGGTTTTTACCATATAAACTTGTTAAGAGTTTGCTCTATGAAGTTGGCTACTTCGCCCTTCATTTTGGACATTTCTTTACTTCAGACAAATGTGGCAAAGTACTCCAAGGGACTAATGTAATATGTTTCAGAGTCTAATCACAAACAGATAAAAGTTGCTTTTCTTCTACAAGACCAAAAGCTCAGAGGTAATGTCTTCTGGAAATGACCTCAGAGAAGAAAAACAAACATCCTGAAACCATATTGGAAATAATCCCACCAAGAACTTTGACTGCTAGCACAGTGGCTAAACCCCCGGGGGAATAGATCCTTGAATTCATGTCTCCCAGATGAACAGACACTAGGTTTCACTAATACACAGAATGCCATTCCATCAAGAAATTTAAATCTAAGGAGTCTTGAGAAAGCTTCAGAAGCAGACATCTTCAGAAACAGCTACCATTCAAGAGGTATGGATCAAGACAGCCTCTACCCAAGACCTACGGAGTCTGTTTTTATGTGGACCGTGAACCAAGAATGGTTTTTATATTTTTAATGGGTTAAAAAGAAAAATAAAAAAAAATAACATTTCAAATCACCGGAATATTGTATAAAATATAAATTTTAGTGTCCATAACGTTTTATAGGAACATAGTCATGCTGATTCATGTAAGTATTGTCCATGGCTGCTTTTACACTATAACAACAGAGTTGAGTGGCTGTGACAGAGACCATACCGTCCACAAAGCCTGAAATATTTACTATACGGCTATTTACATAAAAAGCTTGCTAACACCCTACCTAGATAATCAGAGCCAAAGATTGCAATGCTTTTATTTGCAGGCTTTTGTTCTTTATTTTCTGCGATACTTTCTTTCCCCTTTCTTAATCCAGCCCCTTAAGTGAGTAAAAACATATCATTTATTAACCATGATGGTTTCAAAGACCCTTATCCTTACTATTACTCTCTATATTCTTGGCCACTCTATGGTGTGAGTACAATTACTAATGGAAATTTCTGATTTGGGGATGGCCTCTGTTCTCTTGGTTTAATATAGGTATTCCTGGCTGCTGGCTTAAAAGTGATCTACAAGTTCTGATAATAAACTTTTCCTTAGTGTTTTTCCATGTTGGTGTGTTCAGAAGTGTGACTTCTGGAGTCTTAAATACTATTGGATAGCCACTGTCCTATAAAATGATCCAACAAATTATGATCCAACAAAAGGAAAAACTGATACACACACACACACACACACACCACCAGAAACCACCCACATGTCATCATGACTCTTCATCAAGCAGCATAAATCTTGATTGATCACATCCTAAATAATAATGGTTTATTATTTTTTTTTCCAGCTCAGGTTGAAGAAGCAAAAGGGGACTGAGAACTGAAACCACCTGCATCAATATAACAGAGATATTTGGAGTAAGAACTGAGAATACCTGTGTCAACACAGCTTAGTTTTTTGTTCCAGGAAATCTTTGCCCAGTAAATATAAGACTATAAAAACCAATAAATTATATCACTGTTTGTTTCAGGCAACTGCTGCAAAACAACTTATCTGAGACAATGGTTTATTTGGGTAAACATCTGGTTTATCAAACAACTATTCTCAAGAGTAGCTTCAAGAGCCTCAATGTTGCTACATTCACAATCCTAAATACTACATTACAAAATTTGCCCAATTTCCATCAACATCCTGCCTTAAAAGAACTGCCTAAATCTACTTGCACCTAGACCCTATAACCCTCTACGTAGTCCAATACTGATTTGCACCTTTTGAAATACTAAGACTCTGTAGTGTTTTCACTTCTTGCAATGAGTTTCAATAAACACACCTGCTTTATTAACAAGTTCTTTGGTGATATTTGAGGGAATCCAACGAGGCAGTTCTAATTTACACTGCTAACAACAAATGAAAGTTCTTGTTTTTCTAAAAGTTGGTAAAGGTAAGAATCTGGTTTTTTCTTCAGATGAAATCCAGCTCTAATACCATTTCTTGAATAGTCTGTTCTTCCCCACTGATTTAAAAGCCATCGTTAACATTCACTAAATTGTCTTATGTATTTGGATCTATTTCTAGATTCTGTTGTGTTTTACTAAATAACTGTGTACACTGCACCAAGCTATTTTAATTATGACAATTTATATTATATTTAAGAATCAAGTATGACTATTTCATTCCCTTCTTTTTAAAAAATTTCCCAGTCACTCTTATATGTTTATTTCCACATAAACCTTAGAATAAGCTTAAGTACCCTAAATATGTTCTTGACATTGTAAATTGGATTTATTTATTTATTTATTTTTAGAGATAGCATCTCACTCTGCACTCAGGCTGGAGTGCAATGGCACAAACATAGCTCACTACAGTCTCAAACTCCTGGGCTCAAGTGATCCTCCCACCTCAGCCTCTCAAGGAGGTAGGACTACAGGCACATGCCACCATGTCCTGCTAATATATGTATTTTTAAATAGAGACAAGGTCTCACTATGTTGCCCAGGTCTTGAACTCCTGGCCTCAAGTAACCCTCCTGCCTTGGCCTACCAAAGTGCTGGGATTACAGGTGTGAGCTACTCACTGCAGTTGCTTGTTAAATTGGGTTCATTAAACTTACTGATTACCTTAGGGATTGTGATAACTTTATGCTGTTAGCTCTATGCAAAAACAAGATATAACTTTACATTTTAAAATCTGCTTGAAAATTAGTTGTACTTAGTATTTACCTATTCTTTCCCTCCATATTCTTTCCCTCCACAGATAGGTCTGTTTCATACTTGTCCTTCAAATAATTCAACCCTGATTTTATTCCCATAATCTGCACAACCTCTGGATCTGTCTAACCTCGAAATTCCAATTATTTCTAGTTTGGTCTATCCACTATCACCTGACTTCTGATTCTGATGTTACCCCCAATTCCTGTTTCAATATTACCAAACAAGGAGAACAGAAATCAGCATAATTACACTTCCAGGTTTTAGTTGTTAAGATTACTCTGATGGAGCAGCATGAGAAGCACTATCATAAATGCTTCAATACAGATAAAGCTACGGAGAAAATAAGAGCTGACACTATTTTTTAATATTTGGTTACATTATGTAATAACACCCTGGGAAAATATGGTACTACTTATGAGGTTTCATTGCTTTCAAAATATTCTCACTCCCCTATAACATACAATGTGTTTCTCAGATGTAAAATAGTTTTTAGAGTTATTCACAGTGCTGTGTCAAAAAGCCTGAACAAAAATTTTTTTTTTTTTTTTTTTTTGAGACGGAGTCTTGCTCTGTCGCCCAGGCTGGAGTGCAGTGGCCGGATCTCAGCTCACTGCAAGCTCCGCCTCCCGGGTTTACGCCATTCTCCTGCCTCAGCCTCCCTAGTAGCTGGGACTACAGGCGCCCGCCATCTCGCCCAGCTAGTTTTTTTGTATTTTTTAGTAGAGACGGGGTTTCACCGTGTTAGCCAGGATGGTCTCGATCTCCTGACCTCGTGATCCGCCCGTCTCGGTCTCCCAAAGTGCTGGGATTACAGGCTTGAGCCACCGCGCCCGGCCACAAAATTTTTATTCTCAGTTTTCTGGAAGCCTAAATGTTACCAACAGCTTTAGTTGGGATTTTCTTGAGATTTTATTTAAATAATCCACTAACCCCTGAATCTGTTAGAAAATTTAAAAATTAACTTGGCAATAAGGATTAGAATACATTTTAAAATAGATGCTATAAATACTAATCTGAGAGAAAAAAAAAATACTCACTGTATTAGTCAGCTTTCATACTGCTATAAAGAACTGCCCAAGACTGGGTACTTTATAAAGGAAAGAGGTTTAATTGACTCACAGTTCAGCATGGCTGTGGAGGCCTCAGGAAACTTAAAATCATGATGGAAGGAGAAGGGGAAGCAAGGCAACTTCTTTACAAGGTGACAGAAAGGAGAAGTGCTGAGCGAAGAGGGAAGAACCCCTTATAAAACCATTAGATCTCATGAGAACTATCCGGAGAACAGCATGGGGAAACCACCCAAATGATTCAATTACCTCCACCTTGTCTCTCCCTTGACATGTGGGAGTTAGTTATATGGACTACAATTCAAGATGAGATTTGGCTGGGGACACAAAGCCTTAACCATATTACTTACCTTTTGCCATTTAAGTTCCTGTGTCTCCACAATAATTTTACCAATCTGCTCTTCATAATGAATTTCTGCTTCCTAAGTCAAAAAGAAAAAGAAAAGTGCTATAAAAACAAAGACTTTAAAACTTCCAGTTTTAGCTCTTTCTGGAGAGATATAGAAATAGCATACTCCCACCTTTACAACAAGAAAAAAATCTAGACAAACTGCAAATTAGACAAGTCCATCATAGAACTGAGGTCCCAGATCAATCAAGTACCCAAAATCTGGATAGAGACACATGCCTAGAGAAACAGAATCCTGACATTTGCTTACCTGGGACATAAGCTACCAAGGACTGGTAAGAAGTTTCAATGAAAAGTCCTTAATAAATTGCTAAAGGTAGAATGTAGGCTACTGTAAAAATATGAATCTCCTGAAATAGAGAGATTTACACTTTCTAGCAGGCTTTTCTTCTAGGAAACACACCAGGTGCTTACATAAAAGATTGAGAAAAATCCTATAAAAACTTTCCCCTGCAGCACTGGCTATGCAGGGGAAGAGCACTCACAAGCCATCTTCCCTATTTCCTCTACAGATCAAAACCCTTAATCTGCAGAGGGGAGGGCAACAGAAACTATAGCTAAAAGCACTAGTGGAAACCCTCTGCAGCTGGGCGAGAGGACCAAAAGTCATCACTAAAAATTCTACCTAGGCAGACCTAGCTTCCTTATCTCCTTTAAGCAGCAATTGGGAAGAGGAGGACTGGGAAAACAAGGCAACAACAGTTCTTTCATTGTGAGAAGGGCAGGGATACATGCTAGGCCCAGCATTACATACGAAAGAGGGACCAAACACTCATGAAGATCTCATCCTGAGACTCAAGTTCACCTAAGACTAAGGTTTAATGAGAATATCAGAGAATGCCCTTCTTCCCCTATCTTCCACCACCACCATGCCAATAAGCATCAAGTAAAAAGAACAAGGAGATACAGCAAGGAGAGCTGCAAAGACAGAGTTTCTCTGGGAAGCAAGACAAAGAGAAGATTCAAAGTCAAGTGGGGAGGCCCAATGCCAAGCAGGAAGCAGTCATTTAGAAATATTCTCTGGTTTTGTTTAAAATAATGTAATACTCCTGAATTTGCCCACATCATAAACATAAGGTATCACTAGAGAAATCTGAAGCTTCTGCTGAAAACTTTGTGCCTCAACAAACACACACAGAGCCCTTCTGCAAAAACTAGATTTTTTTTCCCCTTTGGTTCCTTTGGTATTATTTAAAGAAATCTCTGCAATCACTAGCTGACCACTAAAATAACAGCAAAGTCAGTAGCCACACACAACAAAGACAACAGACTACAAATTAGTTCAAATACACACTAAACAAAGACAAGAAGCAGGAACTCTAGAAAGTGAGAAGAGTCTGATTTCCAGAGCTGCCATATATCCAAAATGTTTTCAACAAAAGTTACAAGGCATGCAAAGAAAAAGCAAAGAGTAGCCCACTATAAGGGAAAAACATTAATGGAAATTATACTTTAGGAAGCCCAGAAATTGGACATAAAACTTTTTTTTAAATTATTTTATGCTCTAGGGTACATGTGCACAATGTGCAGGTTTGTTACATATGTATACATGTGCCATGTTGGTGTGCTGCACCCATTAACTCATCATTTACATTAGATATATCTCCTAATGCTATCCCTCCCCCCTCCTCCCACCCCACAACAGGCCCCAGTGTGTGATATTCCCCTTCCTGTGTCCAAGTGTTCTCATTTTTCAGTTTCCACCTATGAGTGAGAACATGCAGTGTTTGGTTTTCTGTTCTTGAGATAGTTTGCTGAGAATGATGGTTTCCAACTGCATCCATGTCCCTACAAGGACATGAACTCATCCTTTTTTTATGACTGCATAGTATTCCATGGTGTATATGTGCCACATTTTCTTAATCCAGTCTATCATTGATGGACATTTGGGTTGGTTCCAAGTCTTTGCTATTGTGAATAGTGCCGTAATAAACATACGTGTGCACGTGTCTTTATAGAAGCATGATTTATAATCCTTTGGGTATATACCCAGTAATGGGATGGCTAGGTCAAATGGTATTTCTAGTTCTAGATCCTTGAGGAATCGCCACCCTGTCTTCCACAATGGTTGAACTAGTTTACAGTCCCACCAACAGTGTAAAAGTGTTCCTATTTCTCCACATCCTCTCCAGCATCTGTTGCTTCCTGACTTTTTAATGATCGTCATTCTAACTGGTGTGAGATGGTATCTCATTGTGGTTTTGATTTGCATTTCTCCGATGGCTAGTGATGATGAGCATTTTTTCATGTGTCTGTTGGCTGCATAAATGTCTTCTGAGAAGTGTCTGTTCATATCCTTTGCCCACTTTTTGATGGGGTTGGGCAAGGACTTCATGTCTAAAACACCAAAAACAATGGCAACAAAAGCCAAAATTGACAAATGGGATCTAATTAAACTAAAGAGCTTCTGCACAGCAAAAGAAACTACCATCAGAGTGAACAGGCAACCTACAGAATGGGAGAAAATTTTTGCAATCTACTCATCTGACAAAGAGCTAATATCCAGAACCTACAAAGAACTCAAACAAATTTACAAGAAAAATACATAAAACTTTTAATCAAACTATTTTATATATGGTCAAAGAGCTAAAAGAAACCATGTACAAAAATGTAACTATTAAAAAGATAATAAGC